AATATACTATTGCATTGTCATAGCTCCTAAGACTTAGAGTGGCCTGTTCAGCAGTATATTGGTGATTGGATTGCCTGTTGGAACATAGTGAGCATGTTAAGTATACTGAGCATATGGATCAACAGCAAAGCTCACAGGGCAGGAGTTGTTTGAGAAGTTTATCTGAGTGTTTTAGTATTTTTGAGTCTGGGTCACCAGTCTAATCTAGTGTAACTGCACTAAATCTAAGCTAACTACCCGGAGTATTCATTCAAATATACTTACACCTGCTTCATATAATATATAAATATTATTGAACCAAAGCATATTGCTTACTTCATCATTAGAGTGCACATATACATTTCTTTTTACACTCTGTATGCAACACTGTCGAAACGATTCAAACCTTGTCCCCCTTCAGTCTTTTAGCTCGCACTACTGTCTTTTAGCTCTCGCTACTGTCTTTAAACTCACTCTTCTGTCTTTTAGCTCGCACTTCCATTACATGAGTCCTTTTGGTGTCGTGGCCATTTTGCTGTCTCTTGAACTAATGACCCACGGTGCATCGCCCGTTCCTCACACGCTTTTCTGCTTGTTTTCACATCTCTACCTGCCTCTTTGGAGCCATTAGTTAATACTGTTGAAAGTCTCTGTATGTGTGTGTGTGAATACCATTACATACATGGAGCAGCAAACTCTCACCTGGTATGAATAATTGATCAGTTGAATATGGGGCGCTTGAGGTTTGTATGCCAGGAGGCAGCTGATGCAGCAGGAAGGTACGGTTTGTCTTAAGAGTCATGTAAGAGGAGGTGGAGACCAGTGTGGTGGAAAACGCCACTTCTCAGGCGACGTATGTAGGTCTATACTGGCCTGATGATTCCAAAGGAGGGCTGTGCAACTTCTAAATCATTAATCCAGCTTTTAGTGGCATGTAAAAGTGTGTGTTTGTGTCTCCAGGGTTAGTGAATGTTATATCTACACATGTCAACTCAATGCAATTTTTCATAGAAGATTCGATTAGACAAACAAAGGCTGAGACTTTACATCACAACAATGTGCGATATTAAAAATATGAGGGCAAGATGGTGGAGCACAAAATTGTTGAGGAAAAAACGCGCCTCTTAGCCAACAAAACACTCAGCAACACAATTTACCGCTTTTCTTTCCTGTTGAAAGCAAGCGGCACAATAACAACTCTGCATCTAAGACAAATTGAATATTTGCCTGGTAAAAAACATGAAATTATTCGTGTTATCACGCAGACATTGTTAAGTCATGCTGTAAATTGGTCTGGCGCCGTTCTTATGAGGATTGTAGTGTTTGAGCCGACAGGTATCTGAAATGAAGGACACAGGAGCAGATTTAGATGCTATTAGACTGTTTGGAACATTTGAAACATAATATATAACTGGATTTTTTGTTCCACTGGAAACATCCAAAAAAATAAAATAAATGTTTTTTTAATTTTGGCTGTAGCCGTGCACTGGCCATCCTGAACACCACAGTCATTTTTGAACTCCGTGGGGAAATGTCTCTCTTTTGTTTTGCCCCTTCAACAGAAACATCTAAGCACGGTCTCAGTTAAAGAGCAGCAGCCCTGGAGCTAGTAATGATTTAAAACCTTGCTTAGTTTCTTCATTGGACAGATGCTCACTGACACAAGGCTTGAAACCGGGTCATCTGGTTCATGGAGTAACGACAGCACAGGCGCTACAGACATGTTTCTTTAACTGTGCAATAAACAGATCTCTAACCTCTTCTACATCGGTGTCATCAGAACAGTTCAACAATATAAACAACGTGTTTGATTCTCTCCTTTTCTCTGCTTGTCGGCTCGCTGTCACACATCGTCACCACGACGCAGCTGTTACTGTGACAGAGGCACGCAATGATTGGCAGCGCTGGACTCTGTATTTGACATACTTGCGCATGATTGAACGAGACGCAGTAACCGGACGAGCCGGGCAGACCGACAAGTGTCCAGCCTGCTGCTGATAGCTATTAACTCAGCCCTGTACTCACAACACACATTCTGCACAACAGAGTTAACTGTAACTAACAAATCAAGTGTTTGAACCAGGATGCAGAATGTTAATCTGTGTGATTAGAGGCTTGGATGGGACTGGTCCCACTACTGTGTAAAAAGGCAACCTAATTAATGGTTAATTATCTACATGTTTAATTAAATCAAATAGTAAATTCTGATTTAATCCAGATTTACTTCTGCCCACTTGTGTGCTTGTGTGGTAACCCACAGTCTTTTTCTCATCTGTTTACTAAGTAATTCTCTTATCGTCAACCTATTTTCATTTATAAAGAAATTAAACATTCTTACTGCAGTTTTCTCCTTTAATTAAATTCATGTTATTATTATCATTTTTAACTTGTCAAAGAAGAACAAGTGGTACGAATAGGACCTTTTGAACACATTTACCAGTTTGAGAAGCAACACATACTTAAATTGTTGTTAAATGAACATTCTGAACATTTCTGATTGACTCATCACCACAGCTCATGCTGGTGGGTTTTCGTTGCCTCAAAGACCCTGACAGTACTGCTTTACTTGCACTGGCAGCAGTCAAAGCTAATTTTTCTCAAGAAAAATGCCAAAACATGCGATTCCTGAAGAGTCTAGAATAACTGGTTGATAGTCAAACACAAGCCTGTTCAACATGTATCGAGAAGCTTTTCATTTAGGTCTAATGTAACTTGCCATATGCTGTGATAACACATATTTACCTTCCATGTTAGGTGCAGTGAATGAGACTTATTTCTCTCCATTTGAAGAGCTAAAGATCCGACATTATATTAGACACCTCCAGGAGCCGTAGACCATCAACCATGGAAGATAATTATTTGTCACTCCACCAATAGGAAGTGCATTATAGATGCTCTCACCTAAATTGAACTACATGAACTATATATGAACACACATTGGATGATTTATATAGGTTTGGTGGAGCCATTAGTTTAGTTGGGCCAGTGCTCTGCAGTACTGCCACGGGAAACGCAATATATTTGAATCATTTGGCTTTGTGCTGTCATGATAATTTAGTTGGTAGCTGACAGTGTTGCCCCAACAGCAGTGATTTGGTGAGCGTTCCTGTGTACGTTTGTGCTTCGATGGAGTGTGTGTGATGCATGAAAGTGTGTGTGTGTGTGTGTGTGTGTGTGGGGCATCCATCAACGTTTAACAGAACGCGGTGGAAGCGTGACGAGTGTAAGACCTGCAGGCACAGATGTGTCTCTCGGATTGTAAGGAAGTGGAATCAGCATCTATTTTGTATCCATTAAGTCTGCTCATTAAAATGTCAGTATTAAACATCATGGATAGCTGAGCTAACAGCTATAACAGCTACCTGCCTCTCTGCCTGGCTTCTTCTGCGTCGTGCTTTATTCATCTGCACACCCTCAACAAATCCTCATCTTCATTCTGTACATGCTCCATATGGTGCAGCTTGTTTGGATGAGTTATTTTTAGGCCCTCTTGATTCCTCAACCTGAGAAACACTGCTGTCACTCACACCATCTCTGGCTTTTTCATGTTTAACTTCCCTCTGGTTTGTTGCTTGCCTAATGCGTTATTGTGTTGAAAAAGCATCATAACTAACCCTCTGCAGTTGCAAGAGTCTATACTATTGAGGTGAGAGAGAGACCTCCCACACAAACTTCTTCTCTCGCTAACTGAAGTTTCTCTCCCTTTTTGAATCTGAAGATATTCATCGACAGAGCCACATCATTGACCGGCTACTGCTGTTCACAATATTAAACAGGCCATAAAGTAGCACTTAGCGGACATAAATATCAATACTGTGGAGAACAAGCTGCTCCAATTAACCCTGACACTGTGATGTGATGCTGATGTGACTGGGCCCCAGTTTCCAGCTCCAGCTTTAGCCCCAGCTTTAAACTCTACCCGTTCCCCCGTCTCGGCAGGAATAGAATCACAAACTGTGTTGCTTAAATTTAGGCCAAACTGAGAAAAAAAATAATCAAACAATTAGTGTGCAGGAAGTGATGACGACATTGAAGTTGACAATTTGCAGTTGCACAGCAGACACTGTGCCGACAGACATGGCTCCGATGAAAGGACAAAGTAAAATGGAGCAGAACAACCAAATATGAAATCAATAGCACAAGTCCCACTGAGCCTCAATATCCCAGAGTATTAAAAAGTCTTGTTTATGAAGAACAATGATGAGGTAAATGAGGTAAAAGTTGACTTATATGTAGAGATATATTTATATTAGAGATATATATCTACCACAAGAGAAGATGGAAGAAAAAAAACTGTCAGAGCAGAAAATACTCATCAGAAAGAAACCCTTGATATTTTTTAAAAATTGACTGTATAGGATAATTACCCAGCTCTGTGTGACCTCATATGTGTAGTGTGTCACCATGAGATATGAGATGAGACCAGCTCCAGTACAGACAGAAACACAAACGCACACATACACACTCATGCATCTGCAGCAGATGGGATATCACAGCAACGTGATATATTTCAGAAATATTTCGAGACCTCAGCGTTGTCGTTGTTCTCCCCCATTTTACTTTCATTCACTAGAAAAATAGTCAGGGAACCTTATGAGGCTATATTGCCTGCAGTGGGGCCGGGAAATGGCAAATTAGACGGAATCTATTACATTCTGCAGTTGGCTGTAAAAAACAAAACAAATATTGCCGGGCAGACCTGGTGCTGGTCACAGCTGTTGGCAGGGTCACTCATGAGTGAGTCTGCTGTTCAGTCAAAAAATAATAAGAGTCATCAGTGGTTTTTGCAAGGCAGAGATTTTCTTTGCATATTGTAAAAAACAGCTTGCGTGAAAGCTTTAATTCCAACTTTGCTAATTAAAATAAAATAGTCATTGACCCACACTGAAAATGTCAGGAGCTGATGATCTGTTTGGAGCATTGTTCAGTTTGCTGTGAAACCAAAGCTTATATAAATAAACATAAATAGAAAGCAAGTTTATGTAAAACTTATAATTTATTGATGTGACTCCTTATAAATATTGCTCAATTTGTTTTCAAGTCTATTAAAAGATGCTTGAGATTAAACAACATATTTGGGATGTAAACAAATACAAATACATAATTCAGATGTAAACATATGATGCACGTGAAATAGAAAAAAAAAAAAAACAGCTTCCACATTTTTTGCAGTAATATTTTAGTTAATCTTAAATCTTAAATTATTTCAATAAATAGTCTGATTAAGTCTGGCACCATGCGTGATGCATTACAGATCATCGTGAGTTGCTTTCTTACTTTATTGACATAGACACTTCAGACTAACTCGGCCTCTACCCAACATACAATGTTTAGAGTTATACAAAATGACCACCAATCTGACCTTCAGTTCTATCTCCTTTTATTAGCTAAACATCTTAGATTACTTTTCTACTTTTAGAAAGCATGGTTCGAATACAAATCAAAAGTTCATGATTTACAATATCTGACTTTGTTGGAAGTTAAACTTATGTGTATAAAATGTAGTTGAAAAAAATTGAACACAGAAAAACTTTGGGCATTTACATATTATAGTATTAAGTGAAACCTTAATTCGATCCACAGCGTAAAAAGTTCACCAGAGTTTACCATTATTAACCGCTATATGCATGAACATGACCGTAAACACCTTTGAGTGTGGAGCCAAGACGTTATTTAGAATCAGGTAATAACTGCAGCGAAAACACCAGGGTGCTTATCAGGGTCTTTGGAGAGACACAGGAAATTGAGTTTGTCCAGTCTAATGATGGACAGAGTCACACAACTCTACAGACATACCATTTCCCTCCTATTAGCAGAGATGTGTTATTCATGAGGGCAAATCTAGTGTGAACTATGTTTCATTGATATTCCACTCAGTCCCTTCTCATTGTCTGTCGAGGGACCCGCACCACTCTGTTTTATTCATCTATTTATCCACTTTCTTTCCACTCCCCAGAAGAAAAAAGAGAATCTGGTGAGGACAGGGTCGCGGTGTCAAACGTGATTCTCCCTGTAAGGAGCCATCAATAGCATCTGCCATCAGTAACCAGTAGGCAGGGAGAAAGGGTGATGGAAAGCTGCTTAGGGAAACACTTGGAGGTGAAACACTTGTGCCGAGAGTCTTAATACACAGCCCAGACTCCTACCAGAAATAGATGCACATTTTCCTTTCCAAAAACCTATTATCTCTCTTTCAGGGCCTCTCCTTTATTCTGCCAAATTCTAATAGGCACCATTTGCATACATACGTCGTGTCCAAAGCTATTTTTATAATACAATTTGAGCTGAATGGCTCATTGTGCCAAAGCACAATGTAGTTATGACACACATTAATTTCTTACATTTCATTTAAGGACAGCATTCCCACACAATACTTAATTCTTCATTTGTGCTGAAAACCAGTCTCCCTATTCAAAGCTGTGTAAACAAGCATCAGTCAGCCTTTTATGCTTGTCACACTGACACAGTCTGGCCCCGTTCAGTCCCAAACCTGATCCATGTGTTTGAGAATGTATGTCTTATTGTAGCTCTAGAAAAATACAAATGGTAAATACGTACGGCACATGTGGCATTGTGTTGCGTGAATGCGAGTGTTGGCAGTGTAAATACATGGGGGCTGAGACCAGTGAGCTGGCAGGTGTTAAAGTCTCCAGTGGAAGTGCATGTTCTGCCGCTGTAAAAGAGAACACACAAGCTCTCAGTGCTGCAGAAAACAAGGAAAAGAGTGTACGCTTCTCCCCAGTCACTCCATCTGCATGCGGAAAAGATCGTACTTGCAGCATCAAAAAGAGCCTCCACATCATAAGTTCACATCTTCTAAAGCCTCACCAGGGATGAAGTTGAAAGATTTTGGTTTTGTTCATAGGGAATGAAAAAACGACATTTAACTCCATCCCCATCCTTTTAGTCTCAATGTTTTTCTCCACAAATAGAGCGGTGTTTGGCAAAGCAGTAAAAACAGCCATTTGAGAGGATTAGATTAAGCAGGGTAAAGAATCTATTACTTTGTCCTGACAAGCTGAGCAGAGTGAGAGGCGAGGAGGTGCATCCTTATGTGTCCAAGATGATTAGCAGATCACTGATTCAAATTGTCTCACTATCTAGGCAGCATCTACATTCTCATTCCCTTGCTTATCTGTGTGTCTCTCACCTTCTCGGATAATTTCACTATCTGGTACTTAATTCCACTGAAGTCATGCATTTAATGGAAATAGTTTAAGGCCCCGAAAAAAAATAATTTTAGAGTGACAGTAAGATCAGATTTATGAATAATGGAACATCCTGCATGAATTCCTGCTCAGGCAGGTGATTGAAACAAGTATCATTTCATCTCAGAACAAATGTAAAAAGCAAAAGAAAGATTAAATTTCCATCATTTTGTGCATTATTTATAAAAGAAAAATCTTCTGTGAGGGTCAGTAGTGTAATAAAATGTGAACCAATACCAAACTAACTGACAGGAGAGCGGCGTCTCAAGTTCCCAGTGGCCTCTGCTTTATGCAAATGTTCCTCAGAGAGCGGCTGGGAAATTTACTGTGCCTTGTATTACTTATTTATCTGATAAATAAACCAAACATGTAATTTGCGAGAGTAATGCAAAACGTTTTCGTCAATTTACTCAGTCAATATAGGTGCCAGGCTTGATACATCTTCATGGGAAGTCGACTGTGGAGTGACAAAATAGTCATACATTCTTGTTTGGTCTTGGCAGCCAGCAACAAAGTGAAGATGCGGGTTATGACATTATAATGAAAAGTCTAAATAAAGTGCTCTCATGGAAAATCATGGGCTCAAAAACACAGCGTTTCACCTGCATGTGAGCATACACTCAAATTAAAGTTTCTGACAATGTTCAACCGTGAATAATCACCTCATTTAGTGGGCACAGTTCTGGTTCAGGAGGATGCATACATTTCCATTGTCGCCCAGTGGAGGGGTTTAACAAATAGGATTAGATCCGTGCCCGAGCACACTCCCATTCAGGTGACATGCAGCTCTGCGCTCCGGCTCTGTGGCTAGAAGCAGAATTATTGTTAAAGGTCAGTGGAGTCAGACGCTGAATGTCACAGCTTAGCCACAATTTGGCAAGAAAATACATTCAGATAAATACGCTTGTCTCTCGGCGGAGAGTAATTCAGCAGCTCCTGAATTCTGAGCATTAAGACCCAGGATTACAGGGTGAGTTCAAAGGCAACAAAGGCATATCGATTAGTGGCAGTGAATCAGGTCTCTGCCACGCTGTGAATAATAAAATGAGCACAAGACAGCCAGGGGTTGTCAGATGGAACATTCGTGATGGCGGCGGGCGGAGGGGGGTTTGAGTTGTGCTCATTTTAGATGAGACTGTGGATAAGTCACATACCCTGTCTCAGGGTTCTGGGGAATCATGACACCGATCGGAAAGCGCCTCAGAGCAGCTTACTACAAGTTTAAATAAGCATTCCACGCCCCATTTAACAGCTCAAACAGACTGATGACAGGCACCGCTCGATGCAGAGTAGTACCAATGGACTTAGGCAAGAGATTGCACGCTTAATAGTGCATCTCCCTAAGGTGGCAGAATATTAGAGGGGATAACTGTGCCATGAGTTGAACAGATAAGAAAGACAATATCTCTGCTGTGTGAAAACAAAAACGCTAAATGGACCCGTGACGAGAAACACATCCCCAACTGGCACAGAATCACATGAGGAATTAATTTGCTAAATCACAACCTGACTCATCAAGGCTTCTGTTTGGTGCTCTTGTGTCCTGACCTGATCTCAGCACATACTGTAATGTTCATTTTCAGCCTCGATATCCGACTATTCAAGGGTTTGCTGTGAAATTTAGTGCAGACATTCATGATCATGACATTCAGATTTGTGGTTCAGGGTGAAATCTTCTGACAACTGCATGTGATGGATCGATTACCACGACATTTGCTGCAGATATTAAGCATCATTAGAGGATCATTAGTGATCCCTTGACTTCAAACTATGATGATATTAAACATGGTACATTTTTCTCTTGCTAGCATGGATAAGACTCTTGAGTGTTATTAATTTACTGTATATTTCTTCTTTCCAGATTCTGAGCTATACCAGAAGGCATTAAATCTAACTTTCAAGTTAAAAAGGAACTTAAATGAATTTCTTTCTTTGTATGTGTTCACTACAGGCTGCGGGCTGGAGTTCCTGCTGGTTCTCTGTGGACTTGAGTTTTCCTGGTCCTGCCCTCGTCACTGTATCTGCTACACTGCACCCACGACTGTCTCCTGCCAAGCCCACAACTTCCTGTCTGTCCCTGAAGGCATCCCTCCCGACAGCGAACGCATCTTCTTACAGAACAATAAGATCCACCGCTTACTTCGGGGCCACTTCAGCTCAAACACAGTCACTCTCTGGATTTATTCCAACAACATCACATACATTGAGCCCTCCACCTTCCACGGCTTCACACTGCTGGAGGAGCTGGATCTGGGAGACAACCGCCACCTGCGCTCCTTGGCTGAAGACACCTTTCACGGCCTGAGTCGGCTCAATGCGCTGCACCTCTACCGATGCGGACTCAGTTCGCTTCCTAATAACATATTCCAAGGCCTCAGAAATCTGCAGTATCTCTACTTGCAGGTAGGCTTTATGTTTCTGGTTCATTGTATCACTATAGTTGGCTGTCACTTCAACTCATGTGCAATTCAAATACAACCATGTGTGATATTCTGTGTAAGAGGATACATGTGTACCAAAAATTAAGTTGTTGATATCGATAACATGAAGTTTCCATGATTCTCAATACCCAATTTGATACGGCAAAAAACAAAGCAATAAATCCAAATTGTTTCCCTGTGCACTTTTTATATTTTCTTTAAAGGTAAACAGTTCCTCTAAAATCAACTAACAATTTAAATTTACATTGAAACAAATGAATTACAACCAAAAACATACGGATCATTTTTATGTCCATACCATGTAATTAAATGTAGCCTGAAATATTTCAGTGACCTGTTTTTGTTACTCTTGTGATTGTGAGTGTATTAATTTGAGTTAATTGACTTGCTTCATTAAATTTAGTGGTTAGCCTTAATATCAGTTTTAAATGGACTTCGTGTTAGTCTCGGGCACAAAAAAAAAAACTTATTTAGAATATAAACTAAGATCTCAGGAAAAAAGATATAAATCTTTTGTGACATTCTGTGTGATTTTCCTCCTACCACTCTTTAAATGGCACCAACATCCACACATCAGCGTCCAGGTGAAACAAGGGCATCGACCAGCACGATGATGATGAAGCAGTAGAATAAGAAGCGAAGAAATCATCCCTCAAACAAATCCAGCCTGCAAACAAGTTATTTTATAGTTCAAATATCTCTTTTCACTTCATACTGGCAAGACTTACAATAACTATAATAAAACACTAGCGAACCTTCTCTGACCCTTTTCCAATTTGCTCTCAGTTTCTAAATAGCACTCATTGTACATTCTCATTTCACAGTGTATACATATCAGTTTTAACACAATTTAAGTAAACACAAAACACACAGTTTCACTTGAGCTATGCAGCAGCTATGAATGTTAAGCTTCTAGACCTCAATCAAACCGACAGGAGTGGGCAGCGAAACAGCTCATTAACATCAATTACAGTATTTGCACTTCACATCGCACACAACATCCTGACTGGTGTTGCTCTCCCAGATAGAAGAAATGATTTGGCTTGGATCTGACCTGAACCCGTCATTTATTCTAGGCCGGATCGGCAAAACAGGCTTGGGCCCATGTCCTTTGGCACAACGGGCAAAAACTCTGGGGGATCCGTTCTGTTTTGTCTGGGCCACGTCGAGGTCAGCTGCAGCCCAGATGAATTTTCAAGACCAGAGTTGGGCAAGATAAGAGAAACTGGATCCACGCCATTATTGGATAAATGTGCCAAAGGACAGCAGCCCAGGCCTGTTTGGTGGATCTGACTCAAAAGCTGTATTTGTCTCCAATATGGATTTTATAAACATTCAATATTAGTACTGAATACATTTTAAGAATATCAATGTCTTGTGTTATGTCTTGCTTGAACTACTAACATTGAAATGTTCTGAATAACTGTCAGAGAATGTTTCTGTTCAGGAAGTTTTACAAGGAAACCCTTTAATAAAATAAAGTTAAAAATAATCACTTAGCTGCATGAAGCTATGGGGTTTACTGTACTGAACAGTTTGTTTGTTTTTAAAGTAAAATTAAAAAGAAAGAAATAATGTATTGAACTCAGCAGATAGAGCATTGTCTTAAAGTTACATTCAAAATAATATTGCACATTTTTTACATCAGTCCATCTTAAAATCTAAATTTTGGATAAATATGTAAAATAACCTGTGGTAAACTTTCACTAATCGGTACATTTACAATTTTCTGACATGATATTTGATTTGATTGGTCTTCGTTGTGGTTTTCATGAGCAACACTTACAAACACTCAAATAACAGAATTCATGGCACATTAAAAAGTTTCCCGAAGTAAATCTTAACTGAAACAGAGCAACAGGCAGTGAACTCTTGTTTTGAAAGAAATCTAATTGACAGCTGAACTCACCTGGATGATCCTCGTGGTTTGGAAGCGAGCACACAATGAAGTTTGAGCTGAGGAGAACTTCTGTCTCACAGCTCGGGGACACTTCAGTAGTTTCCTCCCTCTGGAGACACTGACAGCTCCAGACCCACTTTCACTCTCGCACAGATTGCTGAAGTTATTTAGTTTTCCTTCGGACCAAACTTGTTCGTGAACATGTCTCCTCTGTGTGCAGCAGCTCAGCAGGTGATGCATTTAAGGGATTCCTGCAAGCTACGTAAACTACCCACATCTCCAGACGATGCATTTAATGAACATCTGTAACTGTGTAAACTATAGAAGGCAACCTGGTTTCCAAACATATTGGCATTCAGTTTGTTCCCATGTTTAAACAGTAGCTCACAAACACACAGCACAACACAAACTGATTCCCAAATGCTATTCATGGTGTGCAGACAAATAACTAACTTACCTTTCTAGAGGTTCATTAGTTCTGGGTTTTCTTGGTTTACTGCATTCACTAGACTGATGCTAACAGTAAGGCCTCCAGCCCAAACAAAACACACAAAGCTTATTGGAAAAAGTTTTTTTTTAAAAGCATAGATTTGCAAAATATTCTGTTCAGTATCTTTTCTCTGTGGACATTTTATTTATGTATATTTTCTTTAAAGGTAAACAGTTCAGCTTAAACCAACTCACAACTTAAATGTACATTTAAACATCTGAATTACAACCAGAACCATACAGACCATTTTAATGTCCATACAATAAAACCAAATGTACTCTGACATATTTTAGTGACCTGTTCTTGTTACTCTCTTACGATCGTACGTGTATTCCTTTGAGTTTCTTTACATTGAAAGGTTTGTTAAACTTATATTTATACAAATGCCTACAGACAAATATTAAATTTATAGTATTACGTTACAATATTTGAGTGAAAATACTGCATAATGTATAATAAGTGACTGCATGCTCTCTGTCTCTCCTCAGGATAATCACCTGAAGTTTCTGCAGGATGACACTTTCATGGACCTCCACAACCTGAGCCACCTGTTCCTGCATGGAAACCGTCTGTGGAGCATCAACCAGAACACCTTTAGAGGCCTTCGAGCCTTGGACCGACTACTCCTGCACCAAAACCAGATCGAGTGGGTTGATCGCCTGGCCTTCCATGACCTGAAACGTCTCACCACCCTCTTCCTGTTCAACAACTCCCTGATACAGCTGTCTGGACAGTGCCTGGACATGCTACCTGCCCTTGAATACCTGCGCCTCAACAACAATCCCTGGACATGTGACTGCAAGGCCCTGACGCTGTGGGAATGGTTGAAACGTTTCAGAGGGTCAACCTCCTCTGTGGGCTGTGAGGCACCAGCTGATATGGTCGGGAAAGACCTCAAAGAGCTGCGCAAGGAGGATTTCCCCAACTGTTCACCAACTGTTCCTAACTCTGAGTCCAGAGCCCAGACTAACAATTTATCTGGCACGGTGAATCCGTCTATGAATCGCAGCATAGCGGTGGGCTCTGGGCAGACCCACATAGTGCACCCCTCGAGGCCCGGCCGCTCTCGGAACTGCACAAAGTCTCGTAACAGGGTGAGCAAGGGGAAGGGTGACAATGAGGTCCACTCGAAGGAGGTCATGGCAGACAAGGAGGATTCGTCCCCAGATTTCACAGACGGGGGAAAACATGACCACACGTCCCCAGATGGCACCGTCACGAGGAGGAAGCACAAGTGCACCCCCCGGACCACTGTTCGCCCCCCTAGTGGGGTTCAGCAAGCCAACAGGGCATCCTTATCCCATTCATTGCTACATGTCTCCGCCCTCCTTGTGGCCTTGATAACAACAAATATTGACAATATCCTCCGTTGACCTTCAGAGGGTTTGCTAATGCTAATCACAAAAAACACAGCCCTCAGACCCTCTCTTGCTCCTGCACTACAAGGCCTGTGTGTCTTATGTATGTGTGTGTGTGTGATTATATGTGTAAATGTTGTGTAGGGGGCTTAACTGTCCAGACTGAAAAAAAATCAGCACAGAGACTCGCAGCACAAAATATGGAGGGACTGAGAATGGAAAGATGAACATAGACCAAGCTTGCACTGCCACTGAAGCCACTACAATTTCATCTCCCTGTGTCTCATCATCAAATCTATTTTTGTAACTTCTGTTTTTCCCTCAGCTGGAGCTCACGGAACCAACATTTTTGGTGAAAAGAGAGCGAAAGGATAAGAGATGACAGAGCAAGTGAGGTAAAACTTGTTGTTGAGCTCTGAGACAGAGGAGCTTGGTCTTTAAATGATCATTCCAGCTTTAATTTTCAGTTTTTAAGTTTCTGTCAAAAGATACAAAGGAAAAGTCGACGGAGCTGTAAAGCCTTTGGTGTCAGTCTTTTCTTGGTCTCATGCTTTCTGCCAAATATATTTTTCTGTTGCACCCTTAATAGTATGTCCAAACATGAGTTTCTCAAACATACAGAGGGACAGTGTAAACATGGCAATAAATTGTCTGTCAGTGTGAGACATGGGAATGTGTCTCTCTATTGGAAATCTATAGCCACAGATGTATTAAGGCCATAAGCAGAACAAGCAGTTTGCTCATACACTGTATGAACCTATAACAAATCGCAATTTTCCTTTTTAATTCAGGTATTGCAACAAGCTTTCTGCCTATTTAACCACATTTCTACACACAACTCTGCTTTCATCTTCACTTACTCCACTTTTCTCCCTCTGTGCAACTGAATAATAAGCTGCTAATTGTTTTTCAAGATGACGGGGAACTGCCATGTGCTATTTTTATTTGCTTGCAAAAAACTGTCTCTGGTTGATCAAGCTGTGAATATTAAGGAGTCTGTCTATATCTTGTGTCAGATGTTGTTCTTTTAATTTTTCTAAGACACAAAATGGACCTAGACAACAGGAGCCTTAGTGGCCCGAGGGTCCACCGGGGCTTTCTCAGTTTCCCACTGAGGTCGTGCTGGGCTGATCTCTCCTCAGCACAGGCGTACCTCCCTCGTTGAGAACATGAGGAAGATCTTTTTTTCACATAACTTCTGAGGAACACAAGAACATGAGGAGGAAACAATGTGCGTGTACCTTACATGACTCATGATGAGAAAAAAAAAGATTTTAAAAAATTGGAGCATTGGCAAAACAGGGATTGTGCAGAGAGAATCTTGCCTCTTAATTAACTGACGTGATTGTCTGTGGACGTGAGGATCCAAGACCAAGACAAGTGCTTCTGAAGGAGTAAGGGGAAAGCAACACAATGCAGACTGACAGACGGACATCTTGTTGCACCTCTGGAGCATTTGTGCCTCTCTTGTATCCACGGAGAAGATGGTGTTTGTATCAGTGATGTGAACTGTACCATTAGACAATGGAGACAAGGACTTCTTGCAGTGCTGATATTAATCATTTACTGTATTACTATGACAAAAACAATATCAGTGACATCAATGATGATAACAGGGTTCTCTGCTCCTCCTGCTGTCGCGGGGGAGTCTTTCAATTGTTGATTTCCTGGTGATTTGCTTATTTACGTATTTTTTCATTGTTATATTTTTAGAACCTTTACTTTGTTGATGCACAAATTCCTCACCTCCCTCTTTCTTCTTCAACTGTATGCCTCATCATCCTCTTTCTTTGCCATACTTCAGTCGTTCCGTAAGTTATCATCGGAGAACAACAGTACAAAAATGTTTATAAAGATATTAAAATCTATATCTTCTTATGTCTACCGTTGCAGTCTGAGTCTGTTTATTGTTGCGTTTGAGGTTTTATGGGCTTATCCAGAGGAGGTAGAAGGCACACACGCTCAATTCCCTTCTACAGGCTCTCGTTTCTTTTAATTCATTTATACCAGAAATTGATTCTGTCAGCAAATTTAGCTTTTCTTTCCTACACCCTGTTTCCCCCTCTGTCTTTGCTCTGCAGTGCAATCTGTCTCCGCTGATCAGACCTCGCTGTCTAAACTATGGCTTCGTCCTGCAATGTCTTTTGGATTTATGTGCATTACACAGTAACTGTTACAGAAATATTTGCTGCACATGGGATTTTATCAACAACACACATGGAGGGGGGGGGGGAAGAAAATTCATGATTTACTGCAGGTCAATAAATCATTTAAGAAACACTAAGGTTATTAATGAAAGTGTCACATGGAATCTGTAGATATTCCAAGCTATTATTATTATTAATGGACCTTTAGAACATAAATTCTATTTCCTTTTCTCTAAATATCCCTCATCGTGATAGAAATTGATCCACGAGTAAGTGTTCAATTTAATTTTTTTTTCAAATTCTTTTAAATGATAAATGAGCACAGAAGGACTGGTGATATGCATGGTTAAGAGTACTTTGTAATTGTGTTTAAATTGATAGCTGGTCTGGCATCTGGTGTAACTACTCTTACTCTGCGTCTTTCAATGGTTTTGCTTTTGTGCTTTCGTTAACGTTACTCATTAAATCCTCTCATTTTCGTTGTTTAAACATTTTATTCTAGGAACTTACCAAAAACCAAATGAAGAAATTAAATTAAAAAAGCTCAAACTAATTTTATTACACTTAATCTTTAACAAATTGGCCTACTCATGCTGGTCTGAACAAATGTATTTTAGTTGATATGGATCCAAATAGTGCATATGCAGTATATCTATATGAAGTCAATGTCATCCATTGTGATCATGTCCAAACTGGTTTTCTATTTTCCATGTCCATGTTCACGATCTGAATGAGATGTAAACTGGTCATCAAGAAAAATAAGAGGCATCCCTGCATCCATTTGTAACTATTTCCAGGAGCTGATGGGGCGTGGATTCTCTAATAAGTTTGTGCACATAAAGATCCATTAATGCAAAGTAGAGGAAATGGAAACATGGGAACAGAAATGCATGTCAATATGTAAGTGCTTATTTACAACGATTGCAGCAGTGGTTAATGGAACATTTTACATTTTTATATTTACTCACAGTTTATTTGCTGCAGGGTAAATAAAAGACAAATTTCAACTTTTGCTGAGCGCAAAGTTTTTCAAAAGTAATTAATTTGAATAGATTATGTTTCCAGGGTTAGTTTAACAGACTTATAAACTGATACTTTATTTGATTGACTTAAGAATGCAAGGTGATTTTTTATCTTTATATCAGTACGTGTCACAAAAAATAAGGTAAATTAAAAAGTTTTTAACAACTTCATGGGTGACAGCTAAACTCCAGACAAGAGAAGATATCGT